GTACGCTATCTTTATGCCATCTTTCAGACATAACGAAAAAATAACAATAGGAACACGTTTTTAACAATAAAACAAGATCCTAAAAGTTGACTGAATCAACCAATGCTACTAGTTTAGCTGGGTTTCTTTAAAAGTATATGTATGATACTTGTCAAATTAGCACCTTTGCTAGGTTTTATTATTGTGTGGATATCTTTTATTGAAAATAGGTTCATATAGTGATTTGTACTGATGATTTCAAAACCTTAAACTGGTCTAATTATCGAACTAGTAAGACTTTTTTACATTTAAAGGGGTGTCTCAATACTCAATATTTCAATACCGTACCGAAATAAGAAATTCTATTCACAAATAGAAATATTCGCGTAAATACAAACGAAAAAATCTCTTTATTTTTAAGTTAGTCAAAAATATAATCAACGATTGATGATGAATATGATGAATGATTATATTCTCTTTTTATCTTCAGGTACAAGATACGCCAAACATTTATTTTATTTATCCTTCCTTTCATTTTGTTCATTTTTTGGTCGCAAAATGCAGACGGACCAACAAAACGCCAAACTCGCAATCCCCCATTTCGGACACTCAAGGTCACGTGACCTTCGCTTCAGAATACACGTCGTGGGAATTACTGCACAATGTACACGAGTGGTCTCATTGTAAGCGGAAATAATTGGGCAATACTTTAACTATTTCAAAATGTACATATCTCTTTAATGCAAGTTTTTAACTTCACACGGGTTCAATTAGCGGGATGTCTGGAAACACTAAACATTCTCATTTAAATAATTTTGTATTTGCGTATAAATATATGAAAAATTAGTTATATTTTGTGTTAAATCTAGTAGTTCACGGAAATTAAAGTCTCTATATGAGATAAATATTTAGAGAATATGCAAATGAAACCTGATTGGTATAAAAACTTGGTATTTTAATATTTGTCAGTACAAAAATTAACACAAAAAACTATAACAGCAAGTTACATTTGACCGTTTAGGTCACGCAATGACAGGGTCCGGGTCACATACCATTGTTTCTTGTCCGAAGTCGCTTTTGATAAGTAAATGAGGATAAAAATACAGGTTTAATAAAAAATGCCAGATTTTCATTGTATAGACAATTCTATTCCCGTTATAGAATATTTAAGACTAGGGACTACTCGTTACGTTTTAACGTTTAGTATAGATTTGTCATAGATGTGATATTTTCCCGCGGTAAAAAGTGTCCTATATGTTGACCCGGATAACCAGCTATCATCATACTAAATTTCATCAAAATCTGTCCAGTGCTTTTTCCGTGATGCGTTTCCAGACAAACAGCCAAAAATTGTAAAAACTATAAATTCGGGATCTGTATCGATAATAATTACTATTTCAATAAGATTTTCCAAAAAATATTTCATGTACAGATTCGACTCAGAATTTTATTATGTGTAGAAGATAATACTATCATTTTGAAATCCCTAAAAAAAGACAAAGTGGATTTTACCTATTTTTTTTATTACCTGTAGATACGTTTGTTATAGATTAAGACTACAGATTCAGTTGCCAAAGCAATATTAAAAAAATCTCTATCCTATGTGTTGATATCTGATAAAGAAAGACGTCAATGTATTTACGAAAAAGATATGTTAAACTCTCTTTAACCTGATAACAAATGCATATGTACCGGATATATGAGATAATATCTATCAATTCATATTATATACACCAATAATACGTGTAATATTATAACACGTGTTAGCATTTAACGATTGCATTTTTATCATACTTTAATATCGATTTCTACGAATTATATTGTAATCATCGATTGAGCGAAAAATAAATCGATAACTTACTTAATAAGGATAATGTCAAATGCGTAACAAAATTCAGATTTACGAAGCTGATTTTAATTATTTTCATTTATTTTTGACGATACATTTGGCTCAGTTTGTAGTGACCCTACTTGCTGTGCGATCGGGGGTCGAGTCCCGCTGGGGGCATCCATTTGTGTGATGAGCATGAATGTTTGTCCTCCAGTGATGGGTGTTTATATTTATAATATGTACGTATTTAAAGTTATATATTATGTCTAGTGTTTCAACCATTTAGTATCTATAACACAAGCCTTGTAGCCTTACCTTTGAACTAGAAGCTGCTGTGTGTTTGTCCCAACATATTTATTTATTTTATATAGAAAATCGCCATTTTGTAAGATGTCTATAAAATAGTATGGGAACTTTTAGTTGCAGTTAAAGAATTGAAGACGTTTACCGAATTGAGACAATCTTTCAATTAGCGATACTTGTTTGAGCGACGATTTTGATTAATAAATTGATCTTATTTCTTCGATTCTGTCACACTACTTTTGCATATGTAAAAATACTTTTTTCTTCCATCTTTAATTAACAATTTGCTGTTCTAAGTTACGATTTCACATAAATTAAAATTTCTTTCTGTAAAGGAGCAATTTATATAATTTACTTTCTATCTTAATTTCAAGTTATTTTTATTGGAAAGGAAAGTGGTCCGTATTTATGATCGACTTTAAAAAGGAGAAGATACTCAATTCGTCTGAAGTTATCATCATCGTCCTGCCCATTTCTCAATTACTTGAGGTCGGCGCAGTACATCTCCGGTACTGCTGATCGGTTTTGGCAAAAGTTTTACAACCGGGCCGCTTGCCCGTTTTTTTTTGGTCTTTATTACAATTGAGTTTTAAGTGATTTCGAATCGGTGTACCTTTTTTGATAAAACTAATTGTGATTTGTACATCTATTTATTGCGCAGACGATTCTCATATTGCTTTGTATTTTTTCATAACGCTTTAGGGAATTCCCCTTTCTTAAAAGTACATGTCATTGTAAAGGAAAAAAGAGACTATTTCAAAACAGTTTTTGTTAAGTATAATATAACGTGGCTAGTGATGTGTGCTTTTGTAGTAGATAGGTACAACACGTTTTCCCTTAAACAACTTTTAATTAAATAAAAGTTGCTCTTGCTCCAATAACAAGATTTCTTGATATATAAAATAGGTAGTTAATTAATCAAGTAATTGGTTTCAGTATTATGGTCTGTATCTTGTTTTTTTATATAATCTGTGACATAATTTAAATGTTAACGAGATTGACCTCGTGCTTGTGTTGACATTTGGCAAGTCCTTTGATTGTTATATTTCTTAAATCTATTTTTGATTACATCAAGTTTTCTAAATAGGCACTAAGTTTTATTAGTAAATAGTAGTTGGAATCTCTCTCTTCCAAGAAGAAACAATAGAACGATATTTCATTTATAGCGCTTTTAAGGGTTCTGAATTGTACATTTTGACCGGCAAAGCTATATTTTGTAAATCCTTGAACAAACCGATTTATTTATTGACCATATGCTTCCACTTGGAATCAAACCTGCATCAACTACAGCTAAAATTTTCTATTTATACAAAATTCATTATTTTATTTCATTATGTCAGTAAATAGAATTATGTAATACTTTCTTAGATTTACGCGAATATTGGACATTTTAAATAAAACTATCTTTTCGGATTTTTTCGCCTAACAGCCTACCCAAAAAATAACAAATTAATTCAAAATATACTAAATTTTAAATTAAAAAAATCCAAAAAGATAGTTTTGTTTAAAATTTAGAATTGTGTAATATTAAATTATTTTCCTAAATTGATAAACTCAGTGTATGTAACATCAGTACTTGTGATAAAGATATCTGGTTACCTTTATATTTATATCTTTGTCCTTGTGCCCTTGAACCGTGTCGCTTTTAAAGCTAAGTGGAACCGACTTGAACTCAGGTAGTTAGAACAAAACAGGTTTGAAAAACGTTATCATTTTATATGTTTGTTACGCGAAATCTTTACTTGTGTTTCGCTCAAAATTCTTATAATAACGTTCCGATGGATTGGTTTTTGATGATTCTAATTATTTTTTACAAGCTTTTATTAAACTTGCAATGTTTGTATGAATGTTTGTTTGCTTCAAATTTTGCTACTGAATTTTAAAGCAGTTATCCTCAACCGATTGAGCTGGATTTTGCATTAACGTTTAGTTTGGATGGTAATGCATGATTAGCTAAGTGACGTCATTCTAAATATGGCGGACTACGGTTTATTTTATGCACCCCCATGATATGGATATCAAATGTAAGAGTTTGCTGAGTAGAATACGAATAAATAACAAAAACATTAAATATAAAGTTTAAATTAAATTACCCATCAATTTAGTACCTACATTTCACAATTTAATATATGATAATTCTTTTTTTTTATATATTAATTTGTTATTCTCATTTATATTCAGTTAAATTGTGTTATGATTAGTATTAGATACGTTAAAAATTATCTGTTATATTAAATATTAATGATAGTCAATGATACAATCACTGGCATTATGTGGCGTGCTCAAATTAATGACTTACGTTGAACTATCCGATTTCCCAGACCTTGCTGATGTCGCCTTCAAAACGTTTAAAATGACTCATTGAGGTAATTTGGACCTCGAAAGTAATTCGTAATTCTCAATTACAACGTCTTTGTCTACAGGTTTCCATAGTTTCGTATTTATACAAGTGTACACGAAGCCTTATGTGAAAACAATCGAGTGAGTCAGACAATTGAGTGTGATCGTAAACGAAACGAAAAACGACGTAAACAATAAAAGTTTAAAATTCATAAAATAACAGAACATTCCATACACTAACGCTTAACCAATAAAGTTGCCATATTAACATTTAACAAGCTTTTTAAATTAAGTTCTGAGTAATCGTGGATAATTTTTGAGAAATTGTGTCAAGAACGAAAAGTGTGTGTCAAGGGGTCTCAACTTTCCTTTTGTGGACAGTATATTATAGTGGTGGATCGTTAGTGGCCTCGGCTACACGGGTTTGTGGAGTGATTTTGGCGGATCCCTTCATAACAACTCGCGATTGCACCGCGACTGCCCGTTTGAACTGACCCCTGGGACTAAGTGGAGACAGTGTTAATAAATAGTGCTATGTGGTGTTGAAATGTCGACTCAGGCGTATTACAAGGAGCGTCTCGGGTTCGACCCGCAGGAGGCTGTGCAAGATGGAGTCAACGGGGGCTATTACGACGGCCACCAGCCTAAACGTCATCGAGGCGAACGTGCCGAGTCGCATGACCAGGTTTACGAGGAGAACCTAACCAAATTCAAAGGTACAACTTGTTGGGACTTCTTTATTCAACAGTCAGGTTCGTGGTGGTGGGATATAGAGAACGTATGTGTTGTGTGGAACCCATTAACCTATTACGGTTTGTTTTGGTTTGACTTAATGGACTTTTTATGGTGTGATAATTAATACCTTCTAAGATATATAACCTATTTGTTACGTCTAATTGCGTTGACAGTTGAATAACAGACGCATAATAATGAATGTGATTTAAATATACCTACTTATGAATATGTATGTATGTACGTGTAACGTGCTAGATAGAGCTTTATGAGTGAGTGCTTTGTATTGAATGTAATTTAGTTGCTTTATTAATGATGCAAAAATGTTCTAGTAATGTGTTTTTTAGATCCATAATTTATTTTGATCAGATTTAAAATCTTTCAATTATAAATAGTTAAGTTAGATTCTGGGATTCTAAATTAGTAAAAATATTTTTTAAGCTTTTAAAATTATAGTTTTTAAATGTGTAAGTATTAATTACTTCTACAAGTATTATCAAAAACTGTTTGCAGTAGATTCAATCAAATCAAAATTAAAAGTTAAAAAAAAAGTATTTATAGGTTACTAGCACTGCCCGCGGCTCCGCCCGCGTTCAGATCACCAAATTCTTAGGTTTTACATATTAGTATACTCTTACATTGCAGTTTTTTTTTCAGAAATGAGACATTTTCCCGCGGTAAAAAGTATCCTATGTTGACCCGGATAACCAGCTATCGCCATACCAAATTTCATCAAAATCCCTCCTGTGGTTTTTCTGTTATGCGGTAACAGACAGACAAAAATTCTAAAAACTATAGTTTCGGCCTCTGTATCGATAATAATGTTTATTTCAATAAGATTTTCCAAAAAATATTTAATGTACAGATTCGGCTTAGTTACATGTTTATTATATGTATAGATAGATAGATGTCCGTTAAAAACGTTACGATTTTAAAAGTTACGAGACGTTATTATGAAGATTTTGTTAAACAGGTTGTATGAGAAGTAATATATCAATATTGCCTAAAGTTAAGTGGCAACTATTATTAGCATTTAAATCTTATTTTTGATGAGTTGAATATAAATTGTATTTGAATGAAGATCTCACGAGACCTGATAGTTAAGTTTTATTTATTGTCAAGTACATTCGGAAATATTTTATTGGAACATAATAATATAGACGGGAAGTTATTAAGTAGCGTTAAAAATTAAGTATTTATAATATAAATCTTAGACGGTGGTAGTCCAGTGGTAACGCGCTCGCTTGGGAATCTGAGTGAAGTTGGTTCAAATTCCGGGTCTCGCACCTCTGTTATTTTCATGTGCGATTCATTTCCAATATGATAATCACTTGTCTTAGGGTGAAGGAAAATATCGTGAGGAAACCTGCATGTCTGAGAGAGCCTAGCAAGTTTTCAAAGGAGTTGTGAAGTCAACCCGTACTTGCCCAGCAGTGGGACGTTAACAACATGCAATATAAATTTTTAGTATTCAAGTATGTTTTGTAAAAATCAAATTTATTCTAGAATTGAATAGTTGTATGGAATAACTAGTAAATATAGATCAGAGGAATCAACCTTCGTGATAAGATTATATTTTAGAATACTATTTATTAGAATTACTATACCACATTTAAGAATACTTAAATATTTTATATGAAAGAGATATGAGTGATAGAACAAACAAAGCATGAAATTAAGCACTAGTCATGTTTACAAGATAGAGTTGATGAGCAAGAATATTTTTTTATTAAGTAATTTACAATACAATAGAAATTATACCAAATACATATTTTCGGAACGGGCAGCGAGGTAGCAGCATTTATTTTTTGTTACTTCTTAGTTTTTTTTACGTAAATATCCTGTGTCTCATGTACCGGTTTTTTTCTTTTAAAGTCTAATTCTATAAGTCTATTTTTTTCCTGTTGTAAAAATATGTACATTTTATTACAGTCATTCGTCCCTAGGTGATTCTTTAAATTGATATAACTTTTTTATTTATGAACTGATTCAAATAAAACAAACACTAAATGTTTAGTGAAGCTTACCATAATATATTAGTGAAAACCGCACCCAACTCGGTTAAACCGTTTCTGAGATTAGCGCGCACACACGCACAGAAAAATAGACAAAAAATCTAAAAATCGTTGTTTTAGGTTCTATTGTGTAAATAAAGACCCCCAATTATAGTTTTTCTTAAACATCTTCCATGTACAGACAGCGATCTGTTAAACTTTTATTGTATAGATAACTTTTCAGTGTTTCTAAATCCTTCTTTAGTGTGTTAATTAGCAGAGGAAAATATTGTATTGCGTACATTTCAATCACCTGCGCATACGCAACGGCAGCTGCTAGCTAATATGCGATTTTTAAATAATCTTACTTTTTAACCTAATTAAAGTGGTCTATGATAGTTTTAATTAAACCATCAATGAATGTTCCATTATGTTTTTAAGTTCATTCATTATAGTAAAGTTTAAATTGTGTTATTAAGCCACAATGTCAAGTCTTAAATCATTCCCTCGTATATATTATTTAGACAGTGGAATTTTATCAGGTATCAAGAAAAAGCCGGTGATAAGATACAACGATAACACGATATGTTTTGTTTCACTGATAACGTGGTTAGGTTTTTTGTTCGCTTCCGCGTGCACAGGTTCAATGACTTTTGTTTTATTAAAAAGCGGTACAATTAAATCGAGTACTGCGAGCGAGGCTTGGATAATTGGGTCTTCAATCTGACCATATGAAATAGCTTTCTCTTAAATGCTCTTTTTTGGTAACGTGTTCTGGCGTTATGTTCTTTCAGGTATTTGTTCTACTTCTACCGAAAAGTTCACTATTTGTTAACTAGTTTAATTTGGTCTAGATTGTGTTAGTGTCTATTTGACCTAGCGACCTGCAATAGCGTATCGCAGTTCAGAGATCTATTTTCAATTACGATGTTGTTTTGTGTATTTATAATTTAATTTTGTTGAAACAAATAGTTTTTTATTGTTTTTTTATTGTTCGTGGTTTACATTAGACTAAGTAACATGGTTATTTATTTTTTGGATCTCAGTTGCTTGATAATATTCACATAAAACATCTATAAAACTCGGTTTTCTGATAGTGCATCGAACTGGGTTTGCGTTATGAAACAATAATGTAAAGCAAAACGTGTTTGACGCATCAAAGGACAAGGCATGAACGACAACTGAAATACCAATAGTTAACGAATAACACTTATCTTGAGATTCGTTCAAAAATTTTGACATAATTTTGTCGGCATTACGAAAGCAAAACATATTTCGAAACTATACGAGTTGATTGTTTTTAGTCCAAATATTGAAGATAAACACAATTTAGAATGGCACCATTCTGAATATTATAAACAAACATACATAAAAAATATCTAACAAACGACAAACCTTTTTTTTTGTAGTCGGTTCAAGAAATAATATCCCAAGTCACTATCAATTACATGAGATGCGGTTCGTTAAATTTATATTAATTTAAGCCAATATTAACGTATTTGACTTCAAAGGGGATCAATCGGCCACCGCCTGATTAGCACAATTAAATGCAATTGATCCTAAAGGCAATTTATTTTTAAAATATTATTATTTGTTGTATAAAGATGTGTTTTAATTTAATATCTTAAATGATCAAATAAATAAATATACTAAACTTATAATGGAGAAGTTTCCTCGGAAAGTGTTTTTTCTATAGTAAAATATATTATGTAGATCATAAGCCATAATTTAAAAGCTTGGCATTGTTTATTTTAAGATGCGATAAAAAAATGTTATCAAGGCTTAAATAAGTATAATTAAGTAAGAAATAATCGATGTCTCGACGCGAGTTACGTCATCTTTCAGTCAGGGACAACAGAGCGTAAAGCATATTTTGTTTTTAAATGTTGTAAATTTTTTTTTAAATGGAGAAAGGTTTTTTGAAAAATCAAAATGGCAATTTATCAAAAATTGACATTTATAGGAACGACTTTAAAATTCTGTTTTGTTATCATTTTTGAGGTATATCCTAAAAATATACTTATCATTTTTTAAGTTTAGGTTATACTTTGATTTTCATTCATAAAAAGATTTGTTATAACTCTCGATTAAGGTAAAATATTAAATTAATGCATATATTTTTTTTGGAGTAGTTTGACATTTTAAAATTATTTTTTAAAAGCTAAATTCATGTGTAAATTTTTTCTCGTGAAGAATATAGCAAATTAATTTAATATAAATTAGTTGTGGTTACTAAATATTGGTATATTCATTAATGTGTTGACACTTAAGCAATCGACCGCAATATATTAGGTATGTATGTAGACTGACGCCACGGATCTGCTTTGGCAATCAATACAATTGGCACTAAAGGTTTGTTTGGTTTGGGTTCTGACAAAACTATTGTTAATACATGAGTTCTATGGAAAACCATTGTTTGAACTTATTAATGTACGTACAAATATACAGAGTAATATTTTTTTTTCAAATATCTTTACTAATGGCTTGATAGCCTATTCAATTAGCTTTGATTTAAATAAAACATGTCTTAAAATGAAAGGCGGTATGAATTACATACGATTTACATATCGAAAGATCTAATCTATTTTAGTTTCGTACATCTATACATAATATAATAAAATTCTAACTGAGTGGAATCTGTACATAGAATTTTTTTTGGAAAATCTTATTGAAATAGTCATTATTATCTATACAGAAGCCGAATCAATAGTTTTTAGAATTTTTGTTTGTCTGTATATGTCTGTGAAGGCATCACGAGATAACCATTAGACAGATTTTGATGAAATTTCGTATGATGATAGCTGGTTATCCGGGTCAACATATAGGATACTTTGTACTACGGGAAAATATCTCATCTCTGAGAAATCTTTACTAAACGTTAAAACGTTACTAGGGTCGAACTCGAGCAGAGCGAGGATGAGTCTTTTTTTACGTCGTTGGTGGAAAAGGAGAAAACGTAGAGCTCTACGACCTTTTTCTTAAAAACTAAT